TCTAAGCTGAGTGTGAGCTTGCTCACTGGTTTTTTAGCCTCCGGCTCACACAGTTTTGTCTTAGCTCAGGAAGGATGGCTCCAGAGCAAACTAACTGATGCAGTGGCCAAATCGCTCGCTCACAACTTTAATGCCAGTAGCTCACCAAGTAGAATTGTTGCTCACAAGACTCCACAGTTTAGAGGGAGCACCTTCTTTGGGTGGTTTGGTGAGCAAAGTGTTGTAGTAACTGCATAATCCTGATCTTACTAATTGTCTAAAGTATGAATTTTTGAAACACCCACTCTCCCAGGATTCTGCAAATGATGCAAAACTGAATTATTGAAGAGGGATTTTCTACACAGGCAATAGGGTTCCCCTGTAGAAAATGGTTTACAGAGTTCTGTGGATAAATAAGTAGGAACTGTGGTCTATACTGCTAACAGGTGACCTGCATCCGACCGTCAGCTGCTCACTTTAAAGGGCAGGCAGGCAGCCATTTCAGGGCGTCCTTTCGCTTCCCCCCCCAAAAAAAAAGTGAGAGGGAGGGAAAGGATGCTTCTGGCTGCCTGTCTGTATTAGCCACAGTACAGTGTACTGGAAGTGACATCATTGGAAGGGGAAGCGACATCACTTGCCATTTGACCTGGAAGTGACATCACATGAAGTGACATCACAGGAAGTGACATCACAAAAGTCTCCTGGCTCCACCCCCAAAGCCCTCAGATATTTCTGGAGTTGGACTTGGCAACCCTACCTGCCACTTCTATCAACAGAAAAATCGCCCCCCTTTTCCTTCCGACCCTGCAATCCTCAACTTCCAGGCCTCCTGGGGTCCCCTTTTTTGGCTTCACCTCATCTGCTGGCCTCCCTCTGACTGCCCCACAGACTGGTTTCCCGGAACTCCCACTGCCTCTGTCAAAAGAAGAATCACCCCTTTTGCCTTCTGACCCTGCAATCTTTGACTTCTGGGCCTCAGGCCAGTTTCCCAGAACTCCCCCCGCTTCTATCAAAAGGAGACACCCCCCCTCTTTCCTTCTGACTGCAATCCTTGACTTCCGGGGCTCCTGGAGTCCCCTTTTTGTCCTGGCCTCATCTGCTGGCCTCCCTCTGACTGCTCCATAGGCCGGTTTCCTGAAGTTCCCACTGTTTCTTCAAAAAGGAGATTGCCTTTCTCTTTCTCCCCCAAGCCCCCAAGCCTCCTCTCTCTTCTGTGCTGCCATCGGTGTGCACCCCTCCTCTACCTCCACCAAGGCTGCAGAAGGGCTCCAGAAGTCCATCCTCCCATGGCTTTAATGATTAATTGATCAGCACCAGTGTGTCTGCTGCATGAACCCCCAACACGAACCACACAAACCTCCATAAAAACCATGGGGATTCGGGGGAGGTTGGTTGCAAGTGCGATCACATGACCCTCAGCTCACAAACCACGAGCCAGGTGATGTTCATGACAAAATTAGGTTCATGATGAGGTTCGTGCCCATCCCTAGAACCAAAAACTGCAGCCAACAATAAATGCATCACTCTCAGCATTTAATTAAAAATGGAAGAAAAGAAATTTCTTAGTGCATCAGTTCATTCCAGAAACAAGAGCTGGTAAATCAGAACTCCTAAAATCAAGGCAGCAGAAATACCTCTAATAATCTAACAACTTTTCAAAGCGCTCAAAGCTGTATCTGTATATTGTCATAGTCACAGTAATTTGTACAACAAGCCAGCAAAGGAGGCCTACAGAAGCCATGAGCCACCAAGCCCAAAACAACCTACCAGTCACTCACTGTAGCACACCAAGAACTTGTTAATGCCCTTCCCAGACTGATTTTGCACTCCTTAGGCAGGTAGCAATTACATGAGGTTTTTTGGGTCCCTAGTGGGCTACCAGACATGATGGAGGGAGGTGCTACGTTCAGCTTGATGTGCAGGCTGTTCAAGTTCCCCTGAAAGGTACTATTATCCCCATTTTACAGATGGTGGATGAAGCTGAGTGATAACCCAAGTGGCCTTGTGGGACCCAAACAACTTCCAGCTCACAAGCTCATGCATCTAACTACTATACATTCTATAAAATAAGAAATTCAGTGTTAGGAAGGGGTTTTTGTGATGGTTAAGGATTTGGAGCCACTCACCTGCAGAAGCAGCTTTGCTTTCTAATGCCTATGAACAGCCACAGAGGGACCTATCCACACATAAGGCAACAGCAAACCCAGCATCGCTGACACAAGCATACACCAAAGAGAGTGACAGCTAGCGCTTTGCTCTCTGACCAAATGCGGGCCTATGAAATGCAAGCTTGCAACCAAGAAGAGCTGGAACAAAAAATTCATACTTTTCCAAATTTGAAATTCTAATCCCAACTGTGAAATTCAGTCCTGAAAACTGAATGTTCAGAAATCAGAATTTCAGTTGGAAATTTGCCTGGCTACATGAAATGGGTTAATATGACAATTTACTGAAATCTGGTGCGAATTCAACAGCCAGTGTGTTTTTATCATTGTATGTCTGAAGTCAAGATACTGTCAAATGTTGATTGCCCTTGCAAAACCTTTGGATGTCAAGTTGATGCTGAAAATCAGTCACCCATCAAATATTTATGTACCCACCAAACATTTGACGAATACCCACCACAAAAATTCACAGAGGATTGTCCAGTGCAGAATGTTTAACTCTTTAGTGCACCCAGTTATATGTATAAAATAACCAAGCCCTCTTCTCTCAGCAGAGCTTGGAAAGCATCACTTACTGTCACAAGGGCTCATGTGGCAAGGCCTGACAAGCAGGGGCACGGGGAGACCACTACACACCGATCCATTTAATGCAATCTGATGCCCTTTAGCAGTGAGCTTTTGGCAGGTAGCTTTCCTTCTCTGGTTTCCAACACCACAGCTGACAGAGCACTGGGGAAAAAAGGATGCAGTCAAAGCAAGGTTAGTATCCTGTCTCACATGTGCTCCCACCACCCCTACTCTTACTAGATTTTTATGATCTGCTACAGAAGCCTTTTCTCTGGGTGCTTCTGTTTTCAAACTTTTTATTGGTGGTGACCAGAGACAGGGCCATCTAAGTGGTGGTGCCCTGTTTCTGGAATACTCTCCCCAGACAACTTCATATAGTAAGAAAATGAGGTAGGAACCACGTTAACTCTACTATTAACCAGATAATTTCCCCCCCCCCAGAGAAATCATTTTGATCCCTTTATCAACTGCTGCTTTGGTTTGTTCTTGATTTGTATCATCTCTGTCTGCATTTCCATTTTACACCAGCAAAATATTTCCCTAGATTTTAATGGCTTTAACTGGGTTTATTATTGAAATTTGGGTGTGGGATTAGTGCGGGAGCCACCTTGAAGACTTTAAAGTGAAAACACAGCTAACATAGTAAATAAGCACAATTTTAAAACAGAAGTGAGCTGTTGCTCTTTCACATGATATCCATTGCAGGCATGCACACAATTGGATCCTATTAAGTGTGATTAAAACAGAACTTGTGGACACAGCTCTTTCCAGCCTGATCCCTTCCTTCAGCAATAATTCGAGACCACTCAAAGACTAACACTGGGGATTGTAGGACACACGTGGACAAAAAATCCATGGGGGTGGGTGGTGGACTGCTATGAGGAAGAGGAACTGGCAGGCCACAATTTTGTGCCAACAAATGTTCAGGTACTAGCAGAAGTGATGTTAGAGAAAAGGAGAGCAATTCTGAAAGGTATCCCTGAATTTTCTTCCTCACTCCAGTCCTTAGGCTGAAGTCCTTAGGCTTTTAGTCCTCAAGGGTCCCACGGCCTCCAGAGCCAGCATTTTGGAGGCCTCTGAGGGCTACCAAGGGAAGGATCCAAGCCACAGATATATGTACCCTTCTGATGTACTCTTAGGCTGCAGTCACACACGTGAGATAAAGTGGGGGGGGGGGAGGCTATTTCCTCTGGAGGAATTTGACCCGCAGTTGCGCGATCACACAGTCCTCTGGAGCTGCAGGCACAGCCTGCCACTGCGTGATCAGACGCAAACACGGGTGAGTCGGGGGGGGGGTGCCGTTTGTTTCCAATGCGCTTAAACAAGGAATTGATGAATCGCATCTCCACACTGAGGGCTCCCTATGGAGTGTGCGATGATGTGCATACTGAGAAAGGGGGGGGAACAATAACACAGAGTCGGGATGGCCTGATCAGACCATCCCGATGCCATGAGAGCACGCTGGAGTGATCAGACACGGGAAAGCCCATCCATGGCCCGTCGCAACCTATTTACTACCGGATTTTCCCCAGGTGTCTTTTTACTCTGCTCTGTGGTGGAACAGAACAGGTTGCCGATGGGTGTGGGGCACCTCCCAGATGTTCGTGTCTGATCGCGCCCTTTAAACCAGCCCGGCATACGCGCCTATGTCTGGGATAATTGTGCATGTGATCGCAGCCTTAGCTTCAAGTTACTCACGCGTGACCATTCTCCCACCACCAGTTGTGGGGGGCAGTCGGTTTTTGCACAAGGTTTGTGAGCAGGCATTCTTGGCTCGTGGCATCTATTGTCAGGGAGTTCCAGAGAGCTACCATCCATCAAGAGCTGCCTGCAAGTCACTTTGCGGGTCTGGGTGCCTCTGCCGCACGTGTGGGAGCACTGGAGGAGAATTGGGATGAGACCAATCAAAAGTGTGCTTAGCCAAGAACCTCCTTCATGAATATATGATACTGCTTGTGAACCACATTTTCCAGCAACACCCGAACAATTGAGGGAATCCCAGTGCCATTTTCTCAACAGATGGTTTGGGCCACAAACTAATTTGCATATGCCACATCTCCCCCCCAAAACACACTGTTTTCTACAGTAACTCAGATCACATAAAAGGAGGGATTTATAGACAGCACCACTTCAGAATGGAGGTAGGAAGGCCGAATACACCTTCATATAAAACGCTTCCTGCATGTAGAAAGCTACATGCCAAGGAGGAGAACTCAAACTTCTCCTTGATATGATCATTTTTATATACTCCAGAAGAGCCTTAAGCATCTTGGGATCAGGAAGAACACAAGTTCAACCCAGTGATTGGTTAAAAAAATACAGGCTTTGAGTTTTTGACATAACAGCATCTATTTAAGAAAAGAGAGTTTGGGTTTAAAATATGAAAATATCTGATTTTTAAAGAATCCTAAGCCTCTAAAAGCAGTAATGCCCAAATTCCACCCATCTGACTTGCACACCCAAGATTCCCCCATGTTCATGTTTTCAAAGTTGCTATCATTCTTATGATGCTTTAACAATCCTGAAGAAAGGACACCCCTTTAGCTGCTATACCTTTGAGTATATCAGAGTATTTGAGAGGGAGGGAGGGAGGGAGAGATAACTTCAGAGAGTTCCTATTTATTTAAGGAGGTGTTCATTCTAAGTAATTTCGGAGGGGAAGCCAAATTAGTCTGCTGCAGCAAAATAAAGCAGGAGGTCCAGAGGGTACCTTAAGGATTAACAAAAATGTGGTTCCAGCAGCAGCTTTTGTTGACTGAGCTCTGGCTCAAACAAGGTTACAATGGAATAACTTGTGTTAGTCCTTAAGGTACCCTCTGGACCTCCTGCTTTATTTTGCTGCAGCAGACTAATTTGGCTTCCCCTCCGAAATTACTTAGAATGAACACCTCCTTAAATAAATAGGAACTCTCTGAAGTTAACTTTTATTCTGAAGTATGTAAGAGCTTCTGGATGTAAGCATTGTTGTTTTCAATCTATTTTACACAATTCTGATGCTAATTATCTATAGACACTGAAATGACACAGAAGAACGCTTCAGCTTGGAATCGCATAATTTTCTGTTGCTTATGAGGAAATCTCAGGTCTTTGAAACTCTACTTGGGAGTCTGGCAGTCCTGCCTAGAAAGGAAGGCTGACTGAAGCCCTGTTTGCAGGTACTTTTATTTTTATGGGGAACTATTCAACTGCAGAGCAAACCTGCCCCTGCCCCCCTGCAGTGTGAGATGGGGCTCTTAGCAAGAGGTATAGTGCCTCATCTGTCGTTCACATAAGCTTGGTCTAAGAACTACTCTATTCATTCAGGCAAGTTTTCTGCATGAGGCAACATTGCCTTTAGGAAGGGTTGCACCATCTTCTACATGGGATGGAGAAAGTTGACAAAGAATTTCTCTCTGTCTTATACTTCAGTAATTCAGGGGCACTCAATGACTGACAGATTATAGCTCAAGTATTGACAAAAGGAAGTACTTCTGTCTGTACTGTGTTATGAAATTGTGGAATACTTTGCCAGTGGATGTAGCGATGGCCACTGGCATACCTTTCTTTACAAGGGAATTAGGCAGATTCACGGAGGACAGGTCCATAAATGGTTACTAGCCATAGTGACTAAGTATTTATTTACTTCACTTATACCTCACCTTCCTCTCCAGTGGGCTGGTATTAAAACCCTGAATATCAATGCTAAGAGGCAACACCAAGCGAAGGTCTTGGCCTCTATGCCCTTTTCATTAGCCCTCCAAGGCAACTAATTAAAAAAATATGTTGGACTAGATGGACCACCAGCTTCATCTGACCAGGCTCTTATTTTCATCATTTGGGCATACCAAGCAACCTTTAGTGTAAGGTTGCCAACCTCCAGGTGGTGGCTGGAGATGTCCTGAGATTACAACTGATCTCCAGGTGACAGAAATCAGTCCATCTGGAGAAAATGGCCACTTTAGAAGTTGGACTCTCTGGCATTATGTCCCATAGAAGTCCTTCCCCCCAAACCCCACCCTTCTCAGTCTCCACCCCCAAAATCTCCAGGTATTACCGAACCCAGAGCTGGCAGCCCTACTTTAGTGCTACTCTGCTTGTACCCTATCTACCTGAAAGGAAGATCCAGTTGGTCAGTCATGTTGGTCTGAAGCAGTATGACAAATTTGTACAAATTTGTTGCACCTGAAAGGACGACTAGGATCCACCCCCCCACCCCCCAGATACATGATATCAAGGATAACGGGTGATATCTTAAATTCACATACAGGTTACAGTTCCATACAATAATGAAGCATCTTTTGTGTATAATCTCTTTTGGGGGAGAATCATCTTACATTCAAGTTCATCCTCCTTTCAGGTAAACACAGGTAAGTTACCACAAGCCTATAAAGCAGCTGATTATACCTGTTGCCATTCTTCAACGTGCCAAACCGGGGGGCAATCAACCTGGTTGCAAGCCTGCAAAGCATGTGGCTTTCCAACTTTGCAGTTTTCAGGCCCCACAGCAATTCTTCCAGGTTGCTGGCATTGTACCTCCCTCATCTGTATGCCCACACCACAAGTGGCCGAGCACTGTCTCCAGGGGCCCACCTGCCACCTGTGGGAAGAGCATATCAGAAGAGTCCTGTTAAGTCGCTCGCTTAACAAAGCAGTCGAAGAGTGATTCAGCAAGAACACAACTTTATTCTTCACTCGAACACAACTCTAACACAGATCAACATCTGATAGCCAGAACAGCCTTTACATTGCAGCTGTCCTGCTTTTAAACATTCCCGGCTAATGTAGCCACACCCACTGTGCAAATACCAACCAATAAGGTTGTTCACATAAGGACCAATCACGGATGATCCCGCTCAGGGAGCTTGCTAGGAGGTGATTGGTTAGGTGCTTCCTGGGCTAGTAACATGATTGGATGGATTTGGATCCTAGCCCAGGACGAAGCTTTACATTACACTTCAATTAGATGGTTCACAACATATCATGCATTCAAGGCAGCTTTAAATACACTACAAGTCTCATAAGCAGAACACAACCAGGAGCAAGACAGAACTGGAGGGAGGCTACTTTGCCAAGTGATTCCACTACAAGCAAAATGGCTGGTTATTTTAACATGACCTTGATGGTCCAGGCTAGTTCGATCTCATTGGATCTCAGAAGCTCTAGTTAATTGGCAATGGTTAGAACTTGGATGGGAGACCACCAAGGAAGGCCATGGTTGCTACACAGAGGCAGGCAATGGCAAACCACCTTGGTTTGTCTCCTGCCTTGAAAATCCTTGAAAAGATCATGTGCTACAGAATGTCCAAAAAAAGGGGAGGAAAGCTTTGAGCATGACCATGCCTGTTGCAGATATCAGTCTGAAGCATGGCTCCATTGGACCAGGAGCTAGCCTTGCCCCTCTGGGCTGCCTCAGAGCTGAGCACCCTCAGAATCCATGCTTCACCTTGAAGCATCCAGTGAGTGCACAGTGTAATGGGCAGAAGTGTGCCAGGCATTCCAAAAAACATAGAGGGGAAAGGCCATCTTCTTAGGCTCCAATGGAGTTGGTCTCTGTTGGCAGCAGGAGCAGGATTGCGACTTTTAGCCAAATATTTCATTTATTTATTGTCCATTTTTCTCATCGAGACTCAAGGTGGATAGCAGAATTACAAAAACAATGCAATAAAGACCAGTATAAGACATACAATGAACACTGCAATAAAACTGGGTCACATTGCTTAATGAACAATAAAATAAAAACATATGACAGATTAAATAACCAGTGTAGTAAGAAGACAGAGCAAAAAAGAAAATCTAAGTTTTCACAAGTGATTAAAACTACAACCCTATTGCTTTTACAGTTATATTGCCCATCTGCACATTTCTTTTACCACATCCCTATGAACATTCAAAAGCTAAACGAATAGCTATGCGTTAAAAAGCTAGGAAAGTTTAAATATATGTATCTGCCTCTTGTTCTCTAAAGCAGGGTCCTACCTTGGGGGGCAGACCCTTGTATTACACACACGAGTCATGGCAGGGGGCTTCTTGGAGTGGTCACACAAGGAGTCGTTTACCGCTTGCTTTGTTTGTTCGTGTATGCACATGGCAATGGCTTCCTGAGTCCCTAGGTTGCACAATACAGACACACATTCATAAAAGCAAAAGCAATTATGCATTCTCTAGGCATACGCTTAAAAACATATAGGAAGATGAGATGGATCCACATTTGAAGAGATGGGTCTGCCACCATCTTGTCTACTTTAGGAGGCATCCACACATTGTTAGATGACGTGCTGTCCTTCTTGCTACAGCAATCAATCATTCGCAGCTCGACTGACCTAGCTGCAACAGAGAACTACAGTGCAATATTCAACCATGTGTTTGACTTGAAATTCAGAACGCTATCCTGGATTTGCAGATCTCTTCTCATTTTATTGAAAGTCTGGCCCATGAATTGAGGGTACAGTTCATTCCACATGTTTTCAAGTGCCTTGGCATTCTCGTGCGCTTAGCATGTTGTATATATTAAAAAGTTGTTTCTACTGACAGTAGTGAACGAAAGACACTGGGAGTTCATTTTAGTATGGAAGCTTTATTGGTACTACTTGGAAAGAGTAGAAAACTTCTAATGTGATATGCAAGATCGAAAATGGTCATAGTTCAGGGAATTTGTTTCCTTCCTTCTAACCTCATTTCCCACAGTGGCTTTAGAGAGCCCACAAATCTGATTTCAAGGCAGCTTAATATTTTTGCTTTCATTAAAAGATTTGCAAAGTTTCAAGCATGTTTGCTCTTTTGCTGCATTTCCTAATAAAAATCTGGTGTCCTTTTATTTGTTTAGAATATATTAAAACCACACGTTTTTATTCCACTTCAGCTTTTTAAAAACCTTTACTACTGCTAAACAACTTCTGCCATAAATAACTCTTCTCCTAATTCATCATGAAGGGTTTTTCTTGACAGTCCTTGGTTGCTAAAAAGGCCCATTTTTATTTTAGCTGACTCTGTGGAAACACTCAGAACTGGAAATGTCTCCCCCATGGTTAGTGGTGTGGTGTTTTACGACTTTCGGGTAATTGGCTAGAGCACGGGTGAGGGTTTTTGTTCCTAGATATGAGTGACAAGTGATTTTCATAATGGGATCGCAACCACTTCCATCTGTCCCCAATCATTCATACATACACACAGCATATATTGCACATGCACAAGCTCATGTGCACATGAACGCACGCACACACAGTGTCCTTATTGTGTCATAACTGGGCATTCCCCATGGCCCTACAAGGGAACAAACCAACCCACAATTTGGAAAACAGTTTTTGGCAGGCATATCTTGTTCTTCATTACCAGATTGACCACATTTGATATTGTGCCATCAATAATCACAGCAACTGCCTTCAAAAAACAACAAAATACACTTACTGGTATCAGTGAAGAAAGTAAATAACACCTCCTAAGAGGCTGTAGCTCAGGAGTACAGTCCACTTATGTGGCTCAAGGTTTCTGCAGTCAGTAAACTGAAGGCAAAGGCCTCTGCCCAAGTCCCTGAAGAGCTTCCTTAGATAAAACTGTTTTGGCCTAACAAAGCAGACTTTGACATTTGGCTCAATGATACATTTACATACACTTTTTATGCTTTGTTTTGTTTTTTTATTTTACCTCTTGTCTACTTTCTCAAAATCAAGGCACTGATTGAAAGTGTATTTTCTCCCCCTTTCCCTCTTATTGCACATGCTAAATTGAAGAAATGAGGACATGTTCCACATTTCCTCTTTAAAGGCAGATAAAGAAGGTGAGATGAGATGGGAAATGCCAGTTGGGCTTTTATAATTCCTGTCCAAGTTTTATAGCAAGTGCATTGCAACCTTCTGAACAATACGCCAATAAAACTATAAATAGGAAAAATAGTTTTATGCAGCTCAGGTACTCTAATGGTGTATAATTGGGGGGGGCGGGGGATGACACACACACCAAGGCCAGGATCCAAAAAGCTACTTTAAGTACATCTAAGTGGGATTGCTTGAAACTTTTTTTCTTTGAACAGCGAACTGTATCACCAACACCTTTAAAAAGCCTCAGACATTTCAGAGAAGCCTTGACATGCAGCTCTGAGAGCCCCCCTGAGGAAGTTCATGGGGGGTTGGGGCCCTAGCATTTGAGTGCATTTGACATGAACAAGTTTGATCAAAGGGAAGCAGTTTTTGAAGGTATTTTCTATTGGGGCTACCTGAAACCAATTCTGCTACTTATCAGCAAAGCAGAAATTAAGTCTCAGAACCGAGATGGTAGACTGAGCCAGACCCTCAGTCTACCATGGTATTGTCTACTCTGACTGGCAGCTGCTCTTCAGTGTCTCAGGGTCTTTCATGTCACCTGCTAACTGAACCTCTTAACTGGGGACTGAATCAGGCAGATGCTCTACTACTGAGCCAGCTCTCCCCTGAAAATATTTAGAGAGGACAAACACATGAAGCTGCTTTATATGGAGTCAGACCACTGATCTGTTCAGGTCAATATCGCCCACTCTGACTGGTAGAGGTCTTTCCTAACACTGGCTGACTCTTTTTTTCTGGAGATGCCGGATACTGAACCTGGGCCTTTCCATATGCAAACAAGATGCTCTGTCACTGAGCCACAGCCCCACCCAAACATCTTGGCAAGGAGATGCCACACAGCAAATCCATAGGAGAGCTGCAGCCATGCACTTTACAGTTCCTGTCAGGTCTGGAGTCTTTAGAATAGTTAGTTGAAGAGCAGGCAGCAACACAACAGAAGGAATACTATGCAGAAACATCGGCCTGACTATGCCATCATTACCAGCCCATCCACAAATGTGCATTTGCATAGCATCTGGCTCACTCACCATGGACACATGAAGCTGCCTTATACCAATTCAGAACATTGGTCTCTCAAGGTCAGGACTGCCTACTCTGACTGGCAGTGCTTCTTCTGGGGACCTGGGGAGAGATCTTTCACATCCCTTATTACTACCTGATGGAGATGCCAGGGACTGAGCGTAGGACCTTCTGCATGCAAAGCAGGTGTTCTTCCACTAAGTCACAGCCCTTTCCTGTGGCTCCATGGTACAGCACCTGCCTTGCAGGAACAAAGTCCCCAGTTCAGCGCTCCAACAGGTAAAGGAAAGACCACAGAGGAGTCAGAGGGCAAAGATGTACTTCCGCCACAGTTGAAAGTGCTTAAAGTCCAGTGGAGAAAGCCATTCAAAATTGTTTTAATGGTGATATGATGCTAGCCCAGCACTGTTCTTACTCAGCCAATACTACTTAGTTCTCTTCTCAAAGGAGCTTGATATATTATTATATAATATAATGTAATATGCCTTATACAGTGCCTTGGAATAGTTGCACTGATAACTCTGCAAAATTATAAAATGTTATCATAACCAACTTATAGTTTTCAGACACCATCTCTTTGTCCAGCAAGCAATCACATTCAATTGATGCAGCATTCACTTATAGTTTATTAATTTAAAAAACACAAAGATAATTGACACTGAAAAGAGAAAGACACGGAACAACTGCAATTTAATAATGGCCAATAGTATCAACTCTTCTAGGCTTGAAAGCTAATTGCAAAATTTATTAAGTGCTCTAACTCAGGTAATTTAAAATGAATGATGCCCTTGCTCATGAGCTCAACTTATAATTTATATAAAATATATTCAAGATACAGCCAACCAAACAAATCTTGATGCTGTGTTACAGCATTTCAGTGTCCCTTTCTTTCAACATGATCCTTCAGGCTTTTCAGTTGTGATTCTTCTAGTGCTTCAAAAATGAGCAAAATCTGTTGGACCAGAAACCAGGGGTTGGATCCAAACTAAATTTTCCATTAGTGAACAGAACTGTGCTGCCTTTCCCCTTCTCTTGCAGCCCACTGATCTCCACAAAGTGCTGCTCCTGGTGGACAGGAGACCCTGCAGAACGATGTGAGGGGGACCTGCAGTGGAAAAGGAAAGATGGCAGACAGGTGGGTACCTAGGAAGTCTAGTGCAAGGAAGCAAGGGCACAGGCCTCGCAACCTTACACATAGAAACACGCAGCTGGAAGGGAACTCAAGGGTCATCTAGTCCACTCCCTGCACAATGCAGGAAACTTACAACTACCTTCCCCCTTCACTCCCCCAGTGACTGCTGGTCTATGCCCAGAGAAAGGCAAAAAAACCCCTCCAGGATCCCTGGGCCATCTTGTCCTGGAGGAAAATTCCTTCCTGAGACCACAGGAATCTCAGTTTCAAAAACAATTTGTCATGCATTGAGGGAGAGGGGGAAGAAAAGAATCATCGAATCATAGAGTTGGAAGGGACCTCCAGGGTCATCAAGTCCAACCCCCTGCACAATACAGGAAATTCATAAATATCTCCCCCCCTCCATATGCCTAGTGACTGCTGTTCCACACCCAGAAGATGACAAAACTGGCCTGGAGAAGAATTGCTTCCTGACTCCAAAGGGGCGATCAGCATTTCCCTGAGCCTGTAAGAAAGGGCCACAAGAACCAAGCACTGATGCAACCCTTCCTGTCCTCCCTCTCATGATCTGCCTAAGTACACAGAATCAGCATTGCTGTCAGATGGCCATCTAGCCTCAGATTGAAAACCTCCAAAGAAGGAGAGCCCACCACCTCCGGGGGAAGCCTGTTCCACTGAGGAGCAACCGCTCTAACTGTCAGGAAGTTCTTCCTAATGTTTAGATGAAAACTCTTCTGATTTAATTTCAACCCGTTGGTTCTGGTCCAACCTTCTGGGGCAACAGAAAACAACTCTGCACCACCCTCTACATGACAACCCTTCAAGTACTTGAAGATGGTTATCGTATCACCTCTCAGTCGTCTCCTCTCCAGGCTAAACATAGCTCCTTCAACCTTTCCTCATAGGACTTGGTCTCCAGACCCCTCATCATCTTCATTACCCTCCTCTGGACATGTTCCAGCTTGTCTATATCCTTCTTAAGTTGTGGTGCCCAAAACTGAACACATTACTCTAGGTGAGGTCTAACCAGAGCAGAGTAAAGTGGTACCATCACTGTGTGATCTGGACACTATACTTCTGTTGATACAGCCCAAAATTGCATTTGCCCTTTTTAGCTACTGCACCACATTGCTGAATCATGTTCAGTGTATGGTCTACTAAGACCTCTAGATCCTTTTCGCACATACTACTGCCAAGGCAATTCTTCCCCATCCTATAATGATACATTTGATTTTTCCTACCTAAATGCAGAAGTTTACATTTTATCCCCATTGAAATTCATTTTGTTTTAGCCCAATTTTCCAGCCTGTCAAGATCATCCTGTATCCTGTCTCTGTATTCTACTGTATTTGCTATCCCTCCCAATTTAGTATCATCTGGAAATTTAATAAGCATTCCCTCTATCCCTTCATCCAAATCACTGATAAAGATGTTGAACAAAACAAGGCCCAGGACAGATCCTTGAGGCACTCCACTTGTCACTCCTCTCCAAGAAGATGAGGAACCATTCCCAAGCACTCTTTGGGTGTGATCTGTCAACCAGTTACAGATCCACCTAACAGTCATAGGATCCAAACCACATTTTTCCAATTTTTCAACAAGAATATTATATGGAACCTTATCAAAAGCCTTACTGAAATTAAGATAAACTATGTCTGCAGCATTTCCCTTATCCAGCAAGGTAGAAAGAAAGGCTTATGCTTATGACATTTGTCCCATGTTTCTTTGGGGAAGGGCCATGGCTCATTGGTAGAGCATCTGCTTGGTAAGCAGAAGGTCACAGGTTCAATCCTTTGCATTTCCAGTTAAAAGATCCAGCAGTAGGTGATGTGAAAGACCGCTGCCTGAGGCCCTGGAGAGCCACTGCCAGTCTGAGTAGACAATACTGACTTCAATGGACCAGTGGTCTGATTCAGTATAAAGCAGCTTGATGTGTTCATGTGTATCCAGGCCTCAGGGTTTTGTTTTTAATTTGCATTTAATTCAGTAGCTATTAGAACAAAAACCTTTTAAGAATTTGTTTTTTTAGGTAAAACATACCTCCATCACAAGTGGCTGAGCAAGGAGTAAAACCAATATATTCCCAGTCATAGATGACATCGGTCTCTTCAGAGTGTGAAAATCCCAGGTTGTAAGGTGCAGGGTCCCCATCGCACGACTCCAGGTGGCAGCTGCGTTCAGTTGGTGGCTTGGGTTCCTCACACTCTTCATCGGGCAGCTCCACCTCAGTCTGAGTAAATGCGAGATAAATACGGCACTTCACTGCACGCACCTGAACACCGTGACCACAAGAGGCACTGCAAGGGGACCACGGCTCAGGGACAAACCTGCAATTAGACCACAGCACAAGGTTCTTGAGGAGGTTCCACACGTTGTCCTCTCTTCACCTGAATCTATAACAAAGGCTTCCTGTTTCTGCCTATCAAAAGTGGAAACCTGGAACTGGTTCACATGTGTAGCACCTGTGCCACAGCAGTGAGGGCCCATGCTGCAGTTGCAACAAATGTGGTGATTCCTCACAAGGACCAGCCCAGTGCACAGGCTAGAAACCTGGAAAGCTCCCCGGTGCCGTGTGCAAGCAGCTTAACAGCTAAATCAGTTCCAACATGGCATCCAGTGGCTTGAGCTTCAGCAAAACTTAAGAAGGAAGCTCCACAGTTGGGTAGCAGCCACTGCAAAGACTAGAGCTTATTATATATCCTGGAGGTTTTTTTGTCATCTTCTGGATGTGGGGCAGCGGTTGCTGTGGGTGTGGAGGGGGAGGTATTTGTGAATTTCCTGCACTGTGCAGGGGGCTGGACTAGATGGCCCTGGAGGTCTCTTCCATCTCTCTGATTCTATGATTCTATGTGAGCTTGGTGCCTTACCCAGATGCTCTGGTGGCTACAAGAGGTGAGAATGACACAAGGGGAAAGAACAGACTTAAGTGCAAGGTGATGCACATTGGAGCCAAAAATCCTAAATATAAATACACATTGATGGGGTCTGAACTGGCAGAGACTGATCAGGAGAGAGATCTTGGAGTTGTAGTGGATAACTCGCTGAAAATGTCGAGACAGTGTGTGACTGCAATAAAGAAGGCCAATGCTATGCTGGGGATTATTAGGAAGGGTATTGAAAACAGATCAAGCAATATCATAATGCCCCTATACAAATCAATGGTGAGACCTCATTTGGAATACTGTGTGCAGTTCTGGTCACCACACCTTAAAAAGGATATTATAGCTTTGGAAAAAGTGCAGAAAAGGGCAACTCGAATGATAAAAGGGTTGGAACACTTTCCCTATGAGGAAAGGTTAAAGCGCTTAGGGCTCTTTAGCTTGGAGAAAAGACGACTGAGGGGTGACATGATCGAGGTTTATAAGATTATGCATGGGAAAGAGCAGGTAGAGAAAGAGGTACTTTTCTCCCTTTCTCACAATACAAGAACTCGTGGGCACTCCATGAAACTGCAGAGCGGTCGGGTTAGAACGGATAAAAGGAAGTACTTCTTCACCCAAAGAGTGATTAACACATGGAGTTCACTGCCACAGGAAGTGGTGGAGGCTACAAGCATGGATGGCTTCAAAAGGGAATTAGATAAGCATATGGAGCTGAGGTCCATCAGTGGATTTTAGCCACAAGGTATAGATAGGGGCTCTGGGGGAAGTGATGCTCTGTCTTCTTGGTGCTTGGGGGGGGGGTCAACAGTGGGAGGGCTTCTAATATCCTGGCCCCACTGCTGGACCTCCTGATGGCACTGGTATTTCTGGCCACTGTGTGACACAGAGTGTTGGACTGGATGGGCCTTTGGCCTGATCCAACATTGGCGTCTCTTATGTTCTTATGTTCTTAAGTTGGAAGCAGACCATACTTTTCAAGGGACTTGAAAGCAGTTTGAGAGAGGCACTGGCTCCCACACAGAGCAATTTTTTAGAAAGACCCCCCCATTGCCACTTGTCACTCCTGCTTTGAAGAATTTCTTTTAATTTAAAAAAACTACTAAATCCTGTTTATCAAAAGTGGAATGTGTGTATGCACCGTAACAATTCATTTTTTAAAAAATTAACAATTTTTCAAAATTTTACAGAGAATACAACTAAAGAGAAAGAGAAATGCTTACAGTAATATATAACGTTATAACATCAACAGAAAATCATATTGTAATACATAGGATTCTTTGGAAGTATTTGTATTTCCATTAGGTAGCTCACAATTGGAAACCAAATAGGTACAATTTTTTCTGGTATGTATAGATGAATTATTACCAGTGTTAAATGACAATGTACTTAAAATAATCCCAATTTTTTGTTAGCCACTGTTGAACCGAGGGAGCTTGTTTTTCTATCCATGTGGTTGCTATCAAATTTTTTGCTATCATCAAAAGTGTAGAAACTGTTTCTTGTTGTTTTGATGTCATTTGAATATTCTTCCAATATTCTAGTAATATTATAGCTGGGTTTAAGGGAAATTTTATTGAAACCATTTTTTTCTATTTTTTAAAGTATATGGATCCAGAATTTTTGGATTGAAACACAAGACCACCAGCAGTGTATCAGATCTGCTGTTTGTCCACATTGTTTTTTACAATTAGGTGCAAATATCTTGTTTATACTATGTCTTGTTTTTGGCAAAATATTCCATCTGGTAAGTATTTTAAATGCCTGCATCTTAATAGTAAAGATTTTAGATGTTTGACTGGGGGAGCTCCAAATTTGTTCCCAGTCTTCTTCAGTTAGTTTAAGTTTAAGATCTTCAGACCATTTTTCCTGATATATTGATTTTTCTTCATCTGCCTTGTTTAACATGTGATATATATTTGTAATTAAACCAGGTTCTTGTTCCTTTCCTTCATTTAATAATGTTTAAAAAGGTGTCATGTGTCGTGTTCTAGTTTGTTTCAGTTGGGGTGATTCTAATAGGTGTTTAATTTGTAGGTATATTTATACCAAAGTACCTTATGTTGTGTAATATTTTCTAATTTCGTTTTTTCAATAATTTTATCTTTTTCCAAAAAGTGTTTTATCTTTGTAATTCCTGATTTTTGCCAACTTTCAAATTCTTTGGTGTCCTGTCCTGGGACAAACCAACTTTGGTTCATATAAGAGGCTTGATTTGATACTTTAGGAGCTAACAGTTCTTTTCTCTTATACCATATTTTTAGTGAGGTTTCTAATAAATTTGTTTGATTTTTGTTGAGTAGATATCAGTTTTCCAGATCCCATAGTAATTCATATAAAGAACTTGTCGTCTTGTGATTCAAATTCAGTTCTATTTTTACCCAATCTGGGGGTTGTGTATTGGTTGCTGCTTTAATTAGTGTTGCTATATTGGAGGATTCATAGTACATGTATAGGTTGGGTAAGTCTATACCTCCTCTTGTCAGTGTCCTGGAGAGAGTTTTAAAATGTACTCTGTGTTTTTTGTTGTTCCAAAGGAACTTATTTAAAATCTGTTGCCAATTTTTTATTATTGTCTTTGGGATAAATATCGGGAGGGCTCTGAACATAAAAAGATATTTAGGGAGAATGAAATTTTTAATTAAATGTAATCTATATGTCCAATTTAGTGTTTTTACATCCCATTTTTTAATATGTTTTAACTTCTTCTCATAACTTTTTAAAGTTACATTGGAATAGTTGTTCTAAACTTTGAGGAATGTATACTCCTAAGTATCTCCAAGGTTTATTTGAATGTAGGTAATGAAATTCTTCTATGATTCGAATCAGTTGTAATTGACTTATATGTATAGGGTGTAATGCTGATTTTTCTTTGCTGAATGTTAGGCCTGATATCTGCCCAAATTCTTCAGTGATTTCCTGTAAGGTTTTCAATGATTGCACAGGGTTTGTTATATATAATATTAAGTCATCGGCGTATAAAGAAAGCTTATATTCTTGAGTATCTATTTTTATGCCTTTTATATCTTCAGATTTACGTATGATCTCTGCCAGGGGTTCCATAGCCAAAATAAAAAGCAAAGGGGACAACCCTGCCTTGTTCCTCGCTGTAGCAGAATTTTATAGGAAGTTTGGTTATTAATTTTTAGGGTAGCACTGGAGTTAGTGTATAGTGCCTATATTGTTCTTTGGAAGTTATTACCAAACCCCATTTGTTTAATTATATTTCCCAGATATTTTAAGTTAATGCTGTGAAACGCTTTTGTCACATCCAATGAAAGCTTCATTCTTTTGAGTTTCGCAGTAATGAATTAGGTCTATTGTTTTTCTTATGCTTTCTGTGATGTTTCTATTTGGTAAGAAACCTGTTTAGTCTTTACTTATGTAGTCTGAAAGTATGTGCTTTAATCTATTTGCTATGATTTTAGTAAAAAGTTTTGAGTCTGTATTTAGAAGAGTAATGGGGCGGTATGATGTTGCTAAAGTTTGATCTTTCAATGGTTTCTGTATTAGAATTATTTCTGATTGTTGCCATGGTTTCGGGAGGTTCCCCATTTCAGTGATGTTGTTATACAGTGCTACTAATGTATCTACTAATTCAGGTTTGAAAACTTTATAAAATTCAAATGGGTAACCATCTGGGCCAGCTGCTGAATTCTTTTTTGTTTGAGTAATTGATTCTATCACTTCTTGTTTTGTTATTGGGCTTTCAAGCAATGTTTTATGTTGCTTTGAAATTATTTTTAAAGCATTTTTTTGTAAATATATATTTTTTAAATTTAACTTTAGACTTTATATCCCGCTCGAACCCTCTTTCTCAGGGGGTCTCTGAGCAGCTTACAAGTGGTGCTAGTCACACAATTTTTCCCTAACTAGGGCCACAGAGTCTGTAGGGGTGAGACTACCTACCAGCACCCCTGTGGTGGTTGGTGTGTTTGTTCTTGGCTCGGCACTCCGATCATCTCCGGCGGGCTCCTATTTTGACGTTCCGGCGACAGTTCTTTTTTCGGGGCACGCGACTCACGCCTTCTTCCGGCCCCAGCAATGTCCTTCCGGCTCTGCTGCGCCAGCGCTCGACGTCATCGCGCACCCGTCTCGACGGCAGTCGCCTGGATGTTTCTTCCCTGACCACCAGGGATCGCTCTGCCGGTCGTAGTAGCTTGCTGCCACCGCCGCCATCTCGCCAGTGTCTCGCCACGCCACGCCACCTCTGACTTTCTGGAGCCAACTTTCTACTATTTTTTCCTCTTTTATTTCTCTAGCTTTATATAGATCAGAATAAAAGGCATCTAAGATTTGTGTTATATGTCTCATTTTGTATCTTTCCTGTTTTGTCTTTAAGTACGCTTATATATCTAGAGGCTTGTTTTTCTTTAACTCTCCAAAATAGTATTTTTAGTGTTTTGGGGGATTTCTCCCAATATTGTTGTTTAATATATATATGAGATCTTTTTGAATTTTATTTGTGATTACAGTTTCTAAAATCTTTCTTTCAGCCATTAGATGCTTGAGAGTTATCTTATTTCTAGTTATTTTATGTTATTTTTCCAAATTCAGAATCTTTTGTTGTAATGTGTTAATGGTTTCTTCTTTTGCTTTTTTTAGGTGTGAGGACATTGAAATTAAATGCCCTCACAGAGTGGTTTTCAGTGCATCCCAATTGTTTTGGTGTGAAGTATCCAAAGCTTTGTTAAGCTCTAAAAAGATTTTTATTTGTTCTTTTATTTGATGTTGAATTTCAGGGTTTATCAAGATTGATTTGTTTAGTGACCATTTCCTTGTTGTTTTGGTATTGTGTTGATGTTCAAATTTACAGGAGATTGGGGCGTGATCGGACCATATTTTTAAGTCTATTTCAGCTTCTTTGGTTTTGGTTAAAATTGTATTGATCTATTGATATATAATTTATTCTTGTATAAGAATTAAATCTCGGGGAATAGTATGTGTAATCCCTCTCCTGAGAGTGTTTAATCCTCCAAATATCAAACAAGCCATGGCATCTAATCAATTTTTGCAATTCAGTTTTATGTCCGTTACCCTTTGTTGTTTTAGATCTGTCTAGACCAGTGTGCATTATAAAGTTAGTCTCCCCCCAACAATACATTTCCTTCACTAAAGGAGTTCAGTTTCTCTAGTGTGTTTTTAACAAATTGAATTTGATTTACATTTGGTGCGTACAGTGTTCCCAGCATTGTCAAAGTACCATTCAATTCCCCCTTAATGAAAACAAACCTGCCTGATTGATCTACCATGGTTTCTTTGCAATTAAAAGGAACTGTCTTTGCTATTAAAATTGCAGTGCCTCTAGCTTTTGATGTTCCTAGTGAGGTATATTGTTTATCATACCAGGTCGTTGCTAATATCTGGTCAGGTTTTTTGTTAAAGTGAGTCTCTTGTAAAAAGACGATTTCTGGTTTGGTTTTTAAGATCTGTGTTGTAATTTGTTTGCGCTTGATTTTGTTATGAATTCCCCTCACATTCCAAGACATTACTTTGTACATTCTTAATTCAATTTGATAGTGTCTCTAAAATAAGCTCAATCCTGTTGTACCAACCGCTATTATTTCCCTGTTGGGTTTTTCTTAACTATTTGTCCCTTTCTCTTCCCCTGACAAAGGAGCTGCGGTGGCTCAAGTGGTTAAGACGCTGAACTGCAGGCTGTAGAAGGTCAATAGTTCAGCAGTTCAAGACCCGGGTGCCGCATGATGGAATGAGCACCCATCTCTAGTTCCAGCTCCTGCCAACCTAGCAGTTCGAAAGCAAGAAATTGCAAGTAGATAAATAGGTACCACTTCAGTGGGAAGGTAAAAGCGTTCCGTGCACCTTGGTGTTTAGTCATGCCAGCCACATGACCATGGAAATGTCTTCGGACAGCGCTGGCTCTTCGGCTTTGAAACGGAGATGAGCACCACAACCCTAGAGTCGGATTTGACTGGCTTTCGAGAAAGGGAACCATTACCTTTACCTTCCCCTGACTCTATAACCGTTCCTTAACCTTTCTAACCTCTATAAACTGTCTCAACAAACTTTTAACTTCATTTATAAAATTATTTCTACCTTTTGGGCTTTCCTAACCTAGCCCTTTTTCTGTCTTGTTAAGCTTTCCTAAGTCTTCTCCTTTACTTGGAGCTAGTTTCTTAACTAAATCCCCTTCCCCTTTCCCACTTCCCTCTGAGTATTTTAAGAAAACATTTGTTGCTATAAACATTAGTTAGTTATACAGTTGCTTCTTAAATTCGTTTTTTCTAAACCAAAGCAAGTTACATTATATATATATGCAGTTGACATACCATTGTCTGAGCAATTGCTTTACAATGTTGTTTTGTTAGTAGGTATTCTCACTGGAACTTTGCTGGCTTTTATTGGTGTTAAAGTCATAGAGAGTCTCCTTTTTGCAGATTTTTTTGTTGATTCTGGTGGTGGAGCAAGGTTTAATAATTGCAGAAGTCGGGTTCCACTGTCTTCATCAGACACATGATAAAGCTTGCCTTGGTGTTTCACTGTTAGTTTTCCTGGGGTGCTCCATCTGTAGAATTGTAATGTATTCAGATGCTGCCATGAATGCATTAGATGTAACGTGAAACATCTCATTGGGAAGCAATGTAAAGCTTCGTCTTGGACAGGGATTCAAGTCCAAGACAAATGCGTCCAATCACATTCAAGCAAGCTGGAAGCGGGAACGTGTGTGATTGGTCCTTATGCGATCAACCTGATAGGTTGTTATCTGTAAAGTAGGAGTGGCTATATTAGCCAGGAATGTTTAAATACCGAGCAGTTTCAATGGGCAAACTGTTCGGGCTATCAGATGTTGTACCGTGTTGGAGAAGTGATCGTGAAGAAGAATAAACTTGAGTTTTGGCTGAAATCACTCTCTGACTCTTTGTTAAGCTCAGGACTTAACAATTGGCAACGAGGATGGGATTCTAGCGAAAAGCTGCGAGACCCTGCAACTTCGCTGATGTGGAGGAGGCCCTCTGTGACCGGCTGGTGTGCGGCATGAAGGATGAACGGCTGCAGCAGCGGTTGTTCGCAAAGAAAGAGCTGACCTGGGCAGATGCCTACACAGAGGCCATCGCCGCAGAAGCAGCCGACAAATCGACCTGTGAGGTGCGTCAGCGTTTGGCAACTACCGAGCTGCGCGTCCACCACCAGGGGGCCGATAGTGAGTGCGAGGGCGAGCAAAGTGACGTCTGCATCGTGAAAGGGCGAGCGAACAAGCAGACCCCAGTGAAGACTTCGAGCGGCCCGGCCTGCACCGGTTGTGGCGGGAAGCACCTTCGAGAGCAATGCTGGGCCAAGGACGTCAACTGCCGAACGTGCGGCAAGAAGGGCCACATCACTCATGTCTGCAGAGCACCCAAGGTTTCCACGCCAGCAGCATCTTCCCGGAATCAACGTTCACGAGCAGCAGACCGTGAGGACAGCTGCCAGACGACCTCGAGCCTGTCAGCCAAGCCATCGGTTCGTCGCGTCGGAGGAACGGGGAAGATCCACGTGACCGTCAGCCTCGACGGAGTTCCCTGTTGTATGGAGGTCGACTTCGGATCATCCGTGACCGTCCTGTCGTCCCACACGTGGCAGCGGCTGTTCCCGACCAGAAGTCGGCGGCGTTTGAAAGCCGCAGATACACAGGTGTCCGATTTTCAGGGGAAGCGCATTCCTCTGGCGGGGAGGGATACCTTTACGGTTGAATTTAAGGGCAAGTGTGCTGAGCTGTCTTGTTTAATTGCTGAGGGGAACCGATTGAACTTACTCGGATTAGAGTGGTTTGAACCACTAGGTATAGCAATTACCAGTGTGAATGCAGTATCGGAAAATAAATGGTCTGTATTGTATAAAGATTTTCCTGATGTGTTCGGGGGTGGTCTTGGAAGGTACAAGGGGGCCCCAGTGTCTTTTGAGCTCGATCTCTTTGTGACCCCAATCCGTTTGA